ACACGAGGGCGACGACTGTGGCCACGGGCAGCTCTGGGGGGCGAGAGCCAAGGGGTGGGGAGAGCCCTGGTGGAGCACTGCTTGGCCCCAGTGTGTGGGGGGCTTTGGGGTGGCCGTGCCAGGGTTGGGGTGGTCTCACCTTGTCTCTCCAGATCAGCCCTCCCATACCTACACAGGCTGAGGATGTAGCTCTGGCAGGAGATAGAGAGGATGTGCTCCAGGAGCCCCGTGATGGCCTTCTGGTTGCTGAGGGACTTGTGAACCAGCTCTGCTAGCGGAGATGGGTGTCGGGGCTCCCAGCGCTGCCTCTCCACTTCAAAAGCAACGAGGTCTCTGCCACCCACCCCAATATCCATGAAGCCCCAGCTTGTCCTATTGGGGTGCAGCACACAGCCCACACGGATCTGGACCACCAATGGATCTGCCAAGGGCAGAGAGAGGGAGAGGTCCTGTGAGTGTGTGGGACATGGGTGGCACGAGGCAGGATGTGGCTGGAGGCACGTGCAGGGGTGCAATGGGCAGCGGGGTGCAATGAGCAGCAGGGCATGGGGCCATGCCTCAGGAAGCCCCAGGACACCCCGCAAGCCCTCAGTCCCCTTGGAAGTCCAGAGTGGATACGGGACCAGTTAACATGGGGCGGTTGCTCAAACAGAATGTTGTCCCCCAAAATATTTGCCCCCAGCTTTCTTTTTCCCTGATCTGTGCTGTGTGGGTCCTGCAGCCCCGGTAAATTTGGTCGCAGCTCCCCAGTGTACAGAGGGGTTCCCCTGTGCCAGATGGCAGGAGCCCTGCGGGGTGTTTTCAGTGCACTGCCCTCCCTGCCCCTGCTAGCCATGTGCCCTGTCAGCTGCAGCATTTCTTATTACCCTGGAAAAGGAGATGTTGCACCCTATAAGACCCCACAAATGCACCCCGGTGGGGAGGAGGGCACAGCCAGAACCTGGGAAAAGGGGCTGGGCCTCTGGCTAGTGTTGTCCCCGTACTCACAGTCCAGTTGCACCTGCTGGGCCATTTCGTGCATGTATCGGATCATATTGCGCAGACCCATTTTGGAGTGGGACTTGATGTTCTCTGCATCACCCTCAGCTGTGGCCTGGCGGGCCCAGGACCAGTGGAAGTGGATGCTCCAGTTGGCAGGATTCAGCGCAAATATGGGCACGTCCCCCAGGAGAGCCACCCCGGACACCTCGGCAGAGCTGACATTGGCGAAGAGGCTGGTCTGGAGCAGCTGGAAAACTTGCGGCTCTGCTAGGAAAGACGATGGGGATGGAAAGGGCTGCAGGGAAGACATGAGTGGGGGGGGCTGGAGGGGAA